AGACTAAGGTGCGCCTGATACAGGCCATGGTCTTTGCAATCACTTGTTATGCATCAGAGAGTTGGACAATGACTAGGGAGGATAGAAGGAGAATTGACGCCTTTGAGCTGTGGTGCTGGGGAAGAGTATTGAATGTTCCATGGACTGCCAAGAAAACAAACAGATCCATCCTAGAGAGGGTTAAATCAGGTTACTCTTGGAGGCAAGGATTCTGGGTCTTCATCTGACATACTTTGAACATGTTGTAAGGAGAGACAGGTCCTTGGAGAGGGACATCATGCTGGGTAGAGTAGAGGGACAGCACAGAAGGGGAAAACACTCTGAGGGGGATTGACTCAGTGACTGGGGTAATCGGGATGGGTGTGTCAGAGGCAATGCGATTGGCACAGGATAAAGCAGAGTTTAGGGCTGTTGTACATAGGGTCGCTATGAGTCACAAATGACTTGACGGCACATAACAACAACAACAATATACTCCAAGTGTAACACTGACATCCAAATTTTAGAATAGAGTGTTTTCTGTGTTCCTTTCTTAATTCAAAGTTTTGTTTCATTGTTATCGGTATTTATGGCATTTTAATTTTTAATAATATCTACTGATCTTGACAATTACTTCATATGTTTGTTGACCATCTGAATGTCTTCTTTGGTGAACTGTCTTTTCATATTCTTTGCCTATGTTTTGTAATTGGGTTGTCTTTTTCTTCTTGAGGAGCTGAAGTTTTCTGTAAATTTTAGAGATTAATTCCTTGCTAGATATATAATTTTTAATTATTTTTTTCCCTCAACCTATGCAGAGTCTACAGTCCGTGTGCTCTTTTTCACTCTTGGAAAAATCTGATACAATAAGGATTTAATTTTTGGAAGATCCCAGTTGTTTGAAGACCCTCAAGATGGTAGTGGGCTTAAACTCATGAGAATGGTGTGCAGGACAGGACAAGCTTCATCTTTTGTTCATAGGGTCACTGTGAATCGTAGTTGACAGCACCTAACAACAATTGACTAATTGTACTTTCCCTGCAAATCTGTGAAGGTGGAGCTGTGGTCAGTAAATTAGAAGACTTTCCAGGACATGGGTTGACACAGTGACTGCAGTAATGTGGTCGAGTAGGCCAGCAATGATGAGAATGGCACAAGCTAGGACAGGGTTCACATTCTCTGTTTATAGTGTTGCTGTGAGTGGGCACATTACAACAGCAGCGTTGGAATTACTATTCCGCCCTGGAATTATTATTCCTCTAAAGAGCTCAATTTGCTTTTGCATGGAGTAAAGAAAAGCCCATGATGGTTGCTAAAAATGCAGATGCCTTGGCCCACGCCAGAGAAGGAACCTTCAGGAGTTAGGAGCAGGCATCCCCGGGAGACTCTCTGGGTTTACTGGAGCTGTGAACGCCAGGCACACTGCTCGGTGGTGACATCTGCTGGTGGTCCATGAACTTGCCATAGCTGTTCAGCAATACCTTCAAATTCTGGATTTGAAGGCAGGGGTCAGTGGCTTTCAAGGCTTGTGCCCCAGATCTCCAGGACTGCTGAGCTTGCTCTGGGGCAGTTTCCAGTAGTTTTCTGACCCCCCCACCTCCCCATCTCCTAACTGATCTTGTCTTCCTTACGCTGGCCATTTCTAGGATCCTCAAAACAGGATTCAACCTTGGGATCCAGATGCATTTTCGGCTTTTGTATTGTTAGGTGCCATCAGGTCGACTGTGACCCGCAGTGACCTTCTGAACAACAGTTCTGAGCGCTGCCCTGTCCTGTGCCCTCTTCACCGTCTCCGATATCCTTGAGCCTATCGTGACAGTCACTGTGTCAATTCATCTTGTTGAGGGTCTTCCTACCTTTGACCCTCCACCTTTCCCAGCATGATGTCTTTGCCTAAGGATTGGCCTCTTCTACCATGCTTAACATATAGAGATGAGATATCACCATCCATGCTTCCAGGGAGCACCCTGGCTGCTCCTTCTCCAAGACAGATTTCCTTTTCTTTAAGCAGTCTGTGGGATAGTCGGGGCTCTTCTCCAGCACCACAGTTTAAAGGCATTGGTTCTTCTGTCCTCTTTATTCATTGTCCAGTTTTCAGATGCATAACAAGTGATTTAAAGAACATGGCTTAGATAAAGTCACTTTAGTTTTTAAACAAACCTTCATTTTTGTTCTTTAGCACTTTGGAGAGTTCCTTGACAGCAGATT